GTTTACTTCTTTGTTCAAATTAACATTAGGGACCTTGTACTCATAGTACTCATTCATATCACTGCCCTTTAATTCAATTTCACTATTCATTTCATTTGAATAGACATTTCTAACTATTTCCTTTTTATGTATTACGAGTGTTCCTTCTTTAGGAACACTTTTACTGGAATAATCATTGTTGATCTACCTGGGATTGTCATGCTTTCTGCTATACAAATCCGACCATGATCTACAATGCTTACCAGTGATAAAGTAGCTAATTCCTCTTTATTCTTAAAAAATTTTAAAACCTTTTTAATTGTGTCTGTAGTAGACCGGTTCCACAGTTCATCTCGACCTAGAAGTCCGTCTGCTGGTAATTAGCTACCTACTGGCACTACATGCATTTTCAATTGTAGAGCTAGAAATTTTCGATGTTCAATATTGACCGTACCCAATGTACTTATATTGCCTCCAAAAGCTCCCGTAAGACCCTTTGTGCCTTTGGTGTTTATATCTTTTAAATTGATTAACGTCTCTGTTTTTATAAGGCTGGTGTCTGCTTCCGAGTCAACTAAAAGTCGAAGTTTATTCCCCACTGCACGTTCGCAAGGTATTTCTACACAGGCATCATCAAACGATTGACTACTGCTGTCTTTGGCATTGTAACTCGCTCCTTTTGCCCGTAGTACTCTTATTTGTTCAAACACCCACTCTGATTTTTCTTTCCAGTAATCCGATAGTATTGAACAATACGAAATTAGTAATGTAACTATACATGTCCAAGTACTGAACATATATTTGTTCACCCTCAACACTATATTTGTAATAATAAATTTGTTCAAATATAAATTTATTATATATTTTTTTTTTGAATCTGACTTTCATTCGATATAATATATTTCTTCTCTTTTTAATTCAGCAGGAAGAAATCTGCGCATTAGTAGGCATCCGAGAATGCCGAGACAAAAATAATTTGTGAGACTTTTGTTTAAGCTGTTCGAGCTCAGTTTAAAATCTGAATTTTATTAACAATTTTCCAAACTATTTATACAAAATGTTTTACAATAATTTACAAATATTTTTTCTAATAATTTTAATTGCGGCGCACAGTGTGACAAAACACAAAATTAGGCGGTCATAATTCGATATTTTCGAAACCAGTAGAGATATTGATATGAAATTTTCCTAAAATATAGTTTTTGAGTTGATCTTTCTTTTAAATCTAATTTGAGCCCAATCGGCCTACTGGAACTACCCGAAATTTTTGCCCAAACATGGAGATTTTACCGTGGTCCCAAGATTACTTAAAAACTATGATAGGTAGAAAGCTGAATTCAGGCGTCTGAACATAATGTGTTATAACTTCGTTATTCTTCAACCGATTTAGTTGAAATTTGAAATATAAATAAATTAAATATTTATAAAATTATAAATGTCTTTTTGTTATTACTTATTGAATTTTTTGTTGAAATAAATGGGGTTTATTGAAGGTCATATTTTTCGTAATTTTTCGCTGGTTTCTGAGGCCTGAAATAGGTATAAAACATAGAGTGCGCAGGCCAATTTTTATTTTATTGTAAAGTGTAACTATTTGGCTATTAATAGGAAAAATTTCATGAAAAAACTCGGACACATTTTTTGGGTATTGCAGATAGAAGTGAAAATGACCATAAAAAAATTACTGACTTTTTGTGCAATTTTGCTAATAAAATTTTTTTGATAATTAAAGTCGAAATATTTTTTACACGTAATGAATAACAATATCCTAAGCTTCAAAAAAAATCAAAAATGATCATTTTTGAATAAATAGTAAAAAAGCTATAAGGGTTTAAAGTTGGTTAAATTTTTACGAAATCATAATTTCGCTAAAGTTGCAAAAACTACAAATAACTTAGGAACTAACGGGCGGATCACACCCATTTTTTGCGTGAAGTTGTGTTGCTATGTACGTCAGATATATATATAGTCCAATAAGTGCAAAAAGTTTTTTGAACCATAATAAACGATTTAATATGAAAATTTTGTATGGGGGGTGGGTGTGGCAGTGGGCGGAAACCCATAAAAAATTTTTTGAATATAGATAATAATGTAAGTTTTCCGGACACCAAAATTCAGCTTTCTACCTATCATAGTTTTTAAGTAATCTTGGGACCACGGTAAAATCTCCATGTTTGGGCAAAAATTTCGGGTAGTTCCAGTAGGCCGATTGGGCTCAAATTAGATTTAAAAGAAAGATCAACTCAAAAAATATATTTTAGGAAAATTTCATATCAATATCTCTACTGGTTCCGAAAATATCGAATTATGACCGCCTAATTTTGTGTCTTGTCACACTGTGTGGCGGCACTAAAAAGGTTGACCCACGTCAATGCTTAGAAAATATTATGACACATTCAAGTGTGTCATATCGACATGTGCAGAATAGTAGCACAGAAAAGAAAAGTGTCAAATAGCAATTGCATACTTGCTATGACCAAATATTCTACTTGCATTGCGGTGGTTCATCCGTGTGCGATCGCATTACATATTACATTAGTTAATATAAAATAATTTGTGCATAAGCACTTTCAAAAATACAGAATACTACGTTTCCACTACGTACTTAGTAAGCCATATAGTAACATTGAGCTTTTGGTCGTTTACATTATGGAAAAGAGCTTTTATGTGTCAAGAAGTTACTTAAGAAATGAGAAAGAGCTTTTATGTGTCAAAAAGTTCTAGTTTTAGAGCTTTTGTTTGTTTACATTTTAATTGTAAGCAGATGACATTAAATTTTGTATTGTTAGAATGTTAGTTTTAAATTTTGAATGTTTGTTTATGGTTTATTTCATGTGTCAAATGTTTCAAATTCCGATAATTTCCAATGTTGCATTCGTCATTTTTGGTATAATTTGGTCGAATTTTGCTTACTATATGCTATAGTAAGTAAAAAAGCACAGAAGCTATTTGTATGGTAAATGAAATTTACTCAGTACGATAAGCTTGCTAAGAACGTAGTGGAAATGGCCTATAACATAATTTATTGTTTGTTTTTGTTTACATTGTTGCGCTATACACAACACCTCTACCCTTTTAAAAAAAAATTTTATTTATACAATAAAGAAAATTTTTTATGATAATTTGAATTTTGAAAACTTGACATTGACAATTTTTATTTCTTAAAAATAATTTTACAAATAAATGCAACAAATTTATTATTGCAATATTATACTATTCTATTACGAATAGAATAGTTTTGAAATTTAACAATTAAAAATAAAAAATATAATTAATTAATTAATTCAATTATTCTACAGCTGATTTATGATTTCGTTCTAATATATAAATACAGCAAGTAAAATTGTTAATAAAAAAAAAAAAACTTTCATAGCAAAAGTAACAAAACTCCAGCAAAAATATGCGAACACAAAAAGCCAAGTACGGCTTTGGATCAGTTGGTTAAGGTGCGCTGATTCTGAGCTTCATATTTGGCAGGACCAGAGTTCTATTCCTGGTACTTGCAGTCTCAAAAATAATTATTTACGAATAATTAAATAAATATGAATTATTTCCAAGACCACTGATGAAGGGTATTTGGCAATACTCGAAACAGCTGTATGGCCAGCCAAAAATTCAATTAATTAAAATAATTTAAAAAATAAATTTTTGTTGTTGTTTCACTTCTGTTCGAAAACCTCTTTATATAAATTTATTATATAATAATTTTTATTTTCTTATAATATTTACATTGTTTGTAAATTTTTCTTTAATCTATTATTATGAACTATCTTTATTTTATTATTAATTTCTATAGTGGAATTTACACCATTTCTATCAACTATCTTATATGGACCATGATATGGATTCTCATGTTTCCTTCTATTTTCTACTCTTAAATAAACTAAATCTCCTACATTAAATAAATTTTCTGATGCATTAGCATCTTTAATTTTTTGAGAATATTTTTCTTTTATTAATATCTCATTTATCGCTTTATGTGCATACTGTAGTTTTGTTTTTAACTCAGTAACGTAAGACAGGGTTTGAATTTACTACTCCGTAGCAGCAATAGTAACGAAAAAAATGCTATGCTCCTGCTTCTACTCTTTGACGGAGCACTTATGAGAGCAGAAGCACAAAACAAAATTTGCGTTGCTCTGCTATACTATGCTGTTTGATTTGTTGAAGCACGAAGCAAGAGCAAGAGCAAAAAATTAAAATATGTGCTACTGATATTCGTAGCAGTAGTCAAATTTTAAAATTGTTACTCTTGCTGTTGCTGTGCTACGAAACAGAATAGTAGCGGAGCAGAGCAAAGCAAATTGTGTTTTGTGTGCATGCTACGGCTACTGCTCCCGTAGCAATTACTACTGCTCCGGAGCAACTACCGGTAGTACTCCGCAGCATATGCTTCATACTTTTCTGTTATTGAAACAATTTTTTTTTTCTGCTGAAAAATTAACGGAAAAATTGCGATAGAATTTTACCGTTTACTATTCCGTTATTTTTATTTAAATATTTTCACTACTTTGATATATGTACTTTATTGATTTGATATCCAGTCGTTCAGTATTAGTTCGTATGTAGCAATGGCTTGTAATAAAAGTAACATTAATGTTTTAAAATATTTTGATCCCAGTGACAAAGGGTATATAAAATGTAAGATATGCAGTCGTATTTTAAAAAACGAGCGCATATTTAATTTAAGAAAACATTTATTACAATTGCATAAAATATGTTTAGATAGTAATAGTGAAGAAAATGATTCAACTTCTGTTGAGTCTATTAAAAATATTAAAAAACAATTAAATCAAGTTGAAATTAACAAAAAACAATTGTTTCGATCGTACATTGGACTTGTAACAGAAGATAGCATTCCATTTAATGTTTTAAATTCCGCGAATATGAGAAATATAATCGATCCCATATGCCAAGGCCTTACAGTCAAAAATCAAAAAAATTTTTATCTAAATGGTAACAAATGTAAAAATGTATTAAAACTCGTAGCGGAAAACATTAGAATAGAAATCAAACATGAGATGAAACATCGCCTATTATCTTTAAAAATAGATAGTGGTACTCGACTTTCCAGAAACATATTTGGAATCAGTGCACAGTTTATTAGTAAAAATGAAATAAGATCACGTATACTTGGAATGGTTGAACTTAAAGGACCGAATGCAAGTGCATCTAATATTCTTGCTAAAGAAATCTTATCAACGTTAACAAAGTATGATATCCAAATTGGACAAATTGTGTCAATTACATCTGATAATGGGGCCAATATGATAAAAACAACGAAGTTGTTATCCCAATATTGTACAAACGAAGACGATATTGAAATGTCTGAAGTAGATAACAACAATATGTATATAAGAAATATTAATAGTTTTCAAATATCGATAGATGTACGTTTAGGTGAAATACAAATATGCAGGTGTGCAGCTCACACAGCACAACTTTGCGCACTTGATATAACAAAAAATGCAGATATTAGAAAATATTTGCTTCAGTGTCGCAATATGACTAAATACGTTAGAAAACTATCAAACGGGTATAGAGAAATATTTGAATTCAAAAAATTACCATTACCCCAATTAGACTATCCTACTCGATGGGGATCAACATACCATATGGTTGAACGGCTTAATAAAGCAAAAGACATATTAAGTCATATTGAATCAGTAGAAAACAAAACGGAAGATGAAAATTTCGACGCCAATAAGTGTTTTTGGAATTTTATGGCGAGCTACTCAACCGTTCTTAATCCATTACAAAAAACTATAGTCAAGTTTCAAGAAGAACAATTACATTACGGAAATTTTTATGCTTTGTGGTTAAAATATAAGTTATCTACTAGTAAAATTTTAGTATCACATTCAGAAAATAAAAATGCAATTATTTTTCAAATTGGTCAAAGTCTAATGGAAAGTATAGAAACAAGGACTCATAAACTATTGTCAAATGCAAGCTTAGATGCTTGCTTGTTTTTAGACCCAAGATTTCATCAAATGCTAAATGATTCTCAGAGGGTTGAAGCTGTAGCTTATTTAAAAAAATTATGGGAAAAAATTAAATCACATGTCCCTAAACTTCTTCATTCATCTAATCCATCCCACTTAACGGCAACGGAAAGTGTACAGGTGCTGGAAGAAGATGACGACGACCTTCTCAATGAATATTTAGCTGCTAATTTAGTACCCACTGATGAATGGATTGATGTTTATTTAAAAATTGAGAGATTAAATCTTCCTTTCATGAAGGCTAACTTAAATGTATTAAATTTTTGGAAAGAAAGACAGTGCAGCGATCCAGAACTTTATGCACTTAGCGGCTTTGCCATTCCGCCAACACAAGTAAGCTTCATCATCCATATTGCATCTAAATGTTATAATTTTTTTTTAAGGTCATCATAGAACGTGCATTTTCATCATTAAAATTGATTTTGGCAGATAATCGTAATCGTCTTAATCATGACACGTTAGAAAATAAACTGCTAGTAAAATTTAATCCCTCCTTTTTAGATCAGTCAATAGAAAATTTGCCTTTATTCGAAGAAAATGAAGATGAATAAACACAAATCAAATTCTTATTGTAAGCAAGAAGTATAGAGAAGGATTTTGTTCAAAAGATTGCTAAACTAAATGTAATTTTATTTAGTTTTTTGTGCTTCTGCTCTCATAAGTGCTCCGTCAAATTCAGAGCAGAATCAGGAGCAATAATAAAAACTATGTAATAGTAATGCATTTTCAATCACTGACGTAAGAATCATAATTATAGAATTTTCTACCTTCTATTATCTCGTTTGGAAGATTCGCGACTCTACCATATACTAATTCGAAAGGTGAATAATTTGTTACACAATGAGGTGTAATATTATATGAAAATGTGTAGTATGGGATCCAAGTATCCCAATCAAAATTGTTTGTAAACGATAACATATATTCGTTTAATACTCTATGGTTTCTTTCTATAGAACCTAATGTTTCGTGATGATAAGCAGTGGATTTTAAATGTTCTATACTTAATAATTTACACATATTATTTATTAATTCATTGAGGAATTCTGTACCTCTATCTGTTTTTATTTTCTTAACATCACCATATCTAAATACAAATTTTTCTACCATGGCTTTTGCTATCTCTTGAGCTTCTTTTGTTTGTATAGGAAATGCGACTACATATTTAGTTAATTCGCATTCTATAGTGAGAATGTATCTGTACCCATTAGATATTCTTAGTGGACCTACAGTGTCCATCTGTATTACTTCAAACGGTGAAGTTGGAGTGTTAGTTACGACAAATTTTTCTTTATGGTGTCTTATTATTTTATTCTTATTACATGATGCACATTTTAAAATATAATCTTTTATCATTTTATTCATTCCTTTCCATACGTATTTCTGTTTCAATTTAGCTATAGTTCTTCTTATTCCGGTGTGACCTCCGTGAATACTTGTATGGTAATTCTTTATTAATTCAACTTGTTCCACTTTATCCACGACATTCCTTGGTGGATTATATAATAATATACTTATAGGTGTTTGCTGACCTTCATTTTTTATTTCTTTTTGCATGCTATTATATATTTTCACTAATTGTTTTTCATCAATGTATTCGAATACTATATCTTTTGTAGATAATGCTACTTTATTAAGATTATTTTTGTTTAATACTTTTGTGAGCGTATCCAAGACTGATTCTAAAATCAAGTTGGGCTTATTGCTACACTGTACTTTAATAATATTTTTCTCAATTTTTATAATTGGCAAACTTTTCTTATTCTTTTTTTTATCGAGCTCAAATTTCAATATAGGTAATCTTCTAATATCAGAAATCGAAATACAATTCCACATATAGAGTTGATCATTCTCTGTGTAATTTGTACCATGATTCTGCTTGATTACGTTTTCTTCATTATTCATTTTCATTTTACTTCTGGTCACAATATTAATATTTTTCGGAATCATTTCTTTCAGTGTATCCGAATCCATTCTGATTCTGGATAATGCATCAGTATTTGTATTCATTTTTCCTTGTTTGAAAATTATGTTAAAATCATAATCCATTAAATCTACTCTTATTCTTGTTAACTTTGACGAAGGGTTTTTGTGTGAAAATAGTGATACTAAAGGTCTGTGGTCTGTGACTACTGTAAACTTTCTTCCATATAAATATGGTCTAAAATGGTTAATTCCCCAGTGTATTGCTAAAAGTTCTTTTTCTATAATCGGTTTATTTAACTCGTGTTTATTAAGAGATTATTATTATGGCATACGATATTGTTAGATCGATTCCAATGTCTCTGTTGAATGTTTATATTTTTTTTTCTATGTTTAATTTGCTTTCTTTTAAAAGTAGTTAAAATAACGCGCGTGCTGCTCATTTTTTTATGGTTAATATGCAACCCAATGTTGACTTTCGTCAACTTTGCACATATACGGTACTTCAAAATATAAAAACAATATTAATTTACAGTTTTTTGGCTTCAAGATTCCAAATGAACAGCACGCGTTTTATTTTTGATATTCTTTCTTTATATATTTTTATTTTATTACATTTCGAAGTGATTTTTTAAATTTCAATTTTTTAAATAAAGTGTGAATTAATTTCAATAAAATACAAACTGTTGTAATTTTTAGTTTTTTTTATAACTTCAACAAATACAAAAACTCTTGTATTTTTCATTGGCGCCCGAGCAGGGAAATCAAATAATAAATAATTTAAAAATTTTAAAAAAAGTGAAATTTGGTGATCATTGTTCGGTGGAGCTGCATTTGGCAGCATTGTGATTTTCGTTGAGTTTAATTTTCATTTTCCACGTGTGAAGTGGTTGCGGTGAATGTCGGTGTGGTGTCAAGTATCAGCACCAGACAAAAACCGCTAATAAAAAAAAAAAAATCAACAAATTGACAAATAAGAAGCCAATTTCATCTATCTGATAAAAACACGTGCAGGCTGCTGCTATTGGTTTTTTATTGCTTAATTATCATTGCTACTGTTGGCCGCTGCTACTGCAGTTTCCTGCTCAATTCTTATTGCTGCTGTTGGCCGCTGCTACTGCAGTTACTGCCATTAATTCCACATTGCTGCTACTGGCCGCTGTTACTGCAGACTGCTACTGCATTTCGCTGCTGCTGTTCGCTGTCACTGCAGATCGATACTGCTCTTCATTGCTGCTTCTATTCACCAGTGCTGCTGTTTTCTCTTTCTGGATGGAGTGCAACTGTAACACCACTGCCGTTTGCCAGGTAAGAAAGTGCAAATAATGAAATTGTTGTACCAGGTCATGCTCTGACTAAACAAAATAGTCACGAAAGTATTTCAAATAACTTTGCACTGGTAATTATTTGCACTTTTAAAACACATATATTTATATTTATCCATTTCTATAATAAATTATTTGACAAACGTGAAACAAATTTACGAAGCTGAGGTTGAGCTTCATTAACAAATACGTTCGGTAAATCCAATTATTTAATACAAATAATTGAGTAATTTGCAGGGGCAAATTATACAAAGTGAATGCATTTTTCGTTTTCGTTTTCGCTAGTTACTTGCAACCACTTTGTTGGAATTTTCCCATAATCACAATATTGATTATTTATCGTTTTTTATTATTCAATAAACAAAGTGAGTGCATCTTTCGTTTCGCTAATTTCTCGCGTTTACTTTGTTGGAATTTACTTACAACCGTCGCTCAACAATATTCAAATATTCTTATCGTTCTTTGCGCTGCATTGCCTTCTCTCTTCGAAATTTTAGTAAATTCACTATGTCAACGAAAAAGCGACCACCATCCCCACAAAAAAATGAAGATTTGGATAAACTAATCCAGCAGCGAGAAACTGTAGTGGCCAGTATCTTGCGTATTAAAAAAGTAATATCGGAAAAAATTGTTGATTTAAACCCTGTAGAACTGGAATGTAGGTTGGACAGTCTCAATTCATATATTAAACAGGCCATGACTTGACAACAAAAAATAGAGTGTATCAACGAGCTTGATGTATTTCGGCCAGATCTAGAAGAAATTTGCGTTGCTTCGAAATCATTGTTTCTACAGGCGCTAGGTAAAAATCGCAAGTCTAGTATCCCTGATACTTCGCATGAATGCAGCAATCATCATTCCAGGCTGCCAAGTATGCGTTTACCTAAATTTAGCGAGAAACATACTGAGTACAAAAACTTCATAAGCCTTTTTGAAAGCTTAGTGCACAATGATCAGTCGCTAACTGATATTGAAAAATTCAATCATCTCATTTCGTGTTTGTCTGACGAAGCTCTTGGTACAGTTAAGGCATTTCAACTCACTGAAACTAATTACTCAAAGGCATTAGCTAGTTTAAAAAGAGTTTACGATAACACTTGTCTAATCTTTTTCGATAGTATCTCGCAGCTTTTTGAACTGCCAGAAATGAACAAGCCATCTGCTTCTGCATTACGCAATATCATAGATACTGTTTCTGCCATATATGAGTCCCTATTGTCAATAGGAGATGATAAGAACATTTCAAATGCGATTCTTATTCATTTAGTCATGTCAAGAGTCGATGCCGCCACGAAATCTAAATGGGAGGAGCAATTAGATTACAATAAGCTGCCACTCTGGTCTGATTGCGAGACTGCGTTAAATAAGCGATACCAACACATTTCTGCTGACGAAGCTTCTACGTCAAGGTCTCGATCGAACAGGCCAAAACAAGACAACTGGCAAGGTAAGAATGTAAAATCGTCACTTATGTGCAAGAAAAACAGTTCGCAAGAGGAAAGTAGATGTTCGTTCTGTAATGCGAAGGAACATGTAATAAATTTATGCTCCGCCTTTGCTGCCCTCTCAGTTACTGAACGGTTCAATTTCATTAAATCATCTTCGGCATGCATAAATTGTCTCAAGAAAGGGCACACGGTATCTAGATGCAAGGCGTCACGCTGCAGAGTGTGTAATCGGTCGCACCATACTCTTTTACACCAATATTCTACAAACACTCCTCAAACAGGTTTATCTTATAATCCAGAACAACCTATTATTTCTCGTGCCTCTGTGAATCATAGCTCATCGAATGACGATCAAATTATTCTAGCCACTGCAGTCATAACCATTCAAGGAAAATCTGGAGATTATCAGCTGGCCAGAGCACTGCTCGATTCCGGTTCTCAAGTCAACTTTATAACCGAGGAACTTGCACAACGACTGCAACTAAAAAAAGAAGCGAAAACTCTAAACCTAATTGGCATTGGTGAAACAAACTCCACAGTACGGCAAAAATTACATGCCACTGTGAGATCACGTATTAACTCTTATGAGTTTTCTACTGATTTTTGGGTAATGCCTTCAATCTCCACTTACCAACCCGACAAATTTGTGTCAATGAGTAATTGGAATGTCCCTTCCAATCTTTCACTTGCTGATCCACACTTTCACAAACCGCAAAAGATAGATCTTCTACTTGGTGCCGAAAGCTTTTTCGAACTGTTGTCGATTGGACAAATAAAACAAGGTACTAATTTTCCAACGCTCCAGAAAACATTACTCGGATGGATTGTATCTGGAAGATTCAAACATGCCGAAAGCCC